CTAACACTGGACACGTTCTGGCCGACTACGGTCTGTTGCACGAGCGTCCTTAAATCAGCAAGCTCCTTTTCCAGTTGTTCTACTTTGATTTGAATATCTGCGCACCCAGCACAAGGCTCGTCTTCGTACCTCACACTTTTTGCGGTATTTACGCTTTTTGCACGCTTTGCTGGTCGTTGGCTGGAGGCGAAGTTTGAGCGAGCACAGGGTCTGGATGCGAAGGACAACTCACCGGACTTATCTTCCAAAGAGGTGCCGTCGCTGGCCGTACTACTACAGTTAGCCTGCTGAGAATCCATAAACTTCGACGTGATATAATAGGTATAATTCCGCTTTCGATGTTATAACGAATACGTCCGCTTATATATGATGAATTAAAGTGAGTATTCAAAACTCAATAAGCGAAAAAATACTTAAAATCCGATAAATTTTGTTGAATTTAATCAGAAGCGACTTAGCCCTTTGCAGATCTCGTGGGACTTGAATAACTGCAGACCTTGAAGGATTTTGAGCGATTGGTTTTCTAGGCTGTATACCGTGAATCGGTTGCGTAGCCCGTTGCGTTGTCAGTTGGACCGTGCTGATAAACAAATTGCACTTAATCCAGGTTCCAGGCGAATTTCGATGCATGAAAAAATATTCCAAAAATGCACAAAGTTAGTCTGTACGTACGGTTCCAGTATCAATGTCAGAGACTGTAACTGTGGGATGGTATCCAAGTCGAAATTGTCCCAGTTGGAGCGCAGAATAATTCAGTCGTGCTCAGTTGGGCTCTTGACGTATGATGACAGCTGACATGCGCGGCACCCTGTCGCGCTCTCTTCTTTCTAACCCTTCTGGGAGCGATGGTAAAACAAACTCCCCACCACTGGAGAAGGACCTTTCCTCAGTCTTTGACAAGGTTAAACAATGCATATTTTTGTCCTGCTCCCGACCTTGTCTACGTACATAGACTTATGTCAAGCCCATGATGTAAGGGGAGTTTATATGTAGAGAATTCATAAGAAGCGAACGGAGTTTATGTTGTCCCTATAATGTATATCAAAATTCACTTATTTGTCAAATATCATTAAGAATGTATGACGTTGGTAGCAATTTTTTTCAGCGATCTAAGATTCTTCCATCATAGTATGTATTACTACTATTTGTCGCTAAAGTCAAAATTGGCGCGTCACATATAGTCTTTAATTCTGATTGACACATTTCATTCATTGGCTTATCACTGCGAATGCAGCCCTGCACGCCAATCGGTGAGGCCAAAACTCTTTCCTAACTACATTTAAGTTTAGTGGATTAGACGCAGCTGACATTTCACCGTCTACGCAATGTGGAATGCGGCGCTTAGTGTCTGGCTCATCCTACATCATACTGTTAAAGTTGCTGGCACAGTGCAAGGTATGGCTGTTGTACTGTAGGCTGACTAGCAGGAAAACGAACGCATTGGTTGCCAATAATTTGGCATTTCATACTATTGCACTTTGACTTTTAGCTAAGTGGCTACTTTTTAATTCAGAGCAACCACCTCATAGACGTCCCTATGACAACTGTAGTCATTTAAACAACACTCACCACGGTATTACCATAGCAGGCCTTTGCAAATTATTGTAACCTCGTATACGACTTAAGTTGACCTGTTTATATGCTATGTGCGCGTGCCAATACTGTCATTTTAATTGCTTTCAAACAAAATTTACTGAAAATGTCTATACCTTGCAGAGACTGGACGATCCCAATCCCCAAAACTCGAAGAATGCAGTGAAATCCAGTTCAAAACAAATTTTGCCAACACATTTGATTATCTGCTAAGTAAACTGGCTTCTATCGAAATGCCTGACTCCCAAACCGAATTTCGGAACTGGAAATGCTCCATCAACTTTGACGCATTTGGACGCACTGCGGAATGTCAAACCTACATGTCCAGTTCGCCAAACAAATACAACGTGTTGTGCAACGTTACCTTTCCACGAATCTCACTCGTTTTTTCACACACTGTAAGTTATATCGATTTGCATCTTGCAGCTGGCCTAACTTAAGAAATGCCAGCCGGGATTCCGAATGCATTTTCTTGATTGAAGAGACTTCTTAGATGGGCTTGTTATATTGTTAACCGTGCAGCATAACCTCCAGATACTTTATTCGTGCCGGACGGCGGCTTGTAATATGATTTAGGGAAAACATATGCAAACAAATTATTTCATATACATGCTTGATAGAAAATCTCGTTTTCTATATTTTCACACTTGATGAAAGGATAGGTATGAGTTTTAACAACGTCTTTTAATGCCCAAGTAATTTTGAGTCCGTTTTGCAGGTGCGGTTGCCTTGCAACTGCCCTCTGTGCACGTTTGATGTAATAAAAGTCATACAATTCTCCCTGTTACTAAGATGTCGTCATGTAGGATTTATTTTATTTCGTTGTCGGCGCGTACTATAACTTTTGCTTTCCTAGATGCGCTGTTTAATGGACAGGCACAAACCTTTTTTAAAATCTCAAAACTGCTGATATTTTAAAACCAAATTATGGCCTTTATGTAACACAGACCTAGAGAATACATATTTCCTACCAACCGCAGTGCAATATAAAATACTGACATGTTTTTTATAAAATAACAGCATTGCACGTTAGCGCATTACGTGCTCATTCTAACAAAATGGGAGACCATTAAAGCATTTGCAAAAAGTCGTACCCAGCTGCGGATATCCTAGGTTGATTGACTTGTGTTCAGACAATACTTTGCAATATTCGGTGTCACAACTAATCTTTTCCAATTAATGGGTTCTTTTGTAAATTATGTTAACATTTCGCGGGATGTAGCAGGTGCTTATATTTTAATATTCTGGTCACTAAACCATTACGCTCACATATGTCATTACAGTCACTTCAACTGCTATTTTTTTGGCGCAAGCGGTCAAGTCATAGGCCAGATTGGTGTGACGGGGAATTAGTCTAACTCGCTACCTAGGGACAACATTACCAAGTGACTCCTCCACGAAAATCCGGTTGCTTAACTTTTTTCTTATACCAATTACTTAACCCAACATATTTTCTCATATAGAAGAAACCAACTAATTTTTCGACATATTTGCGAAGCATCTTCAAATTTTGCAGATTAATGTGTATATTTTTGTAAGTATTCTTTAATGTTCCTCATATGGATGAAAAGACATTATTGTCTTTCGGTTTCCTTATGCAAGCTGTTTTGACTTCAAGGCCCACGCCTATGATATGGATCCCCTTAAAGACACAACCATTGGGAGTTCTGAACAAATCACTTTTTCCCGCAGTGACGTATTTGGCAACGTCCACTTTGAGTTGAGCTACGAGGACCAGTTAATTGGCAATGATGTTCTTCGTATGCTTTACGTACTTCCAAATATATTCGAAAACATTTACCCGAGTGTTATGAAGAACAATCTTTTGGTCCGAAAACCGCAATTGTTTTTGGCGATAGGTCAATTTCATGCATTTGCTCTTCGTCAGGATGTAAACTGGCAGCTCCCCTTTTGTACATATCCCTAGGCTGCATGTTGAAAAATATCTAATATATATTTGAAAGTACCATGCAACGTCTTTTAATTATCCGACCGATAAGGAACTATCAGTAGGTCGCACGCGAAATCAATATAATTGCTAGATTAGCGTGGGGCCGGAGTCAATCAGGCTGCACACTTTTTGCGACTTCAGTGGCAATTGGGAATTATTGTAGATGTTGCGGAATATCTAGACGCAGACTTCACAATCAGTCAGTTCATAGTGCTTTATTACAGCCGACCCGGACAACGACCAATTTCCTTCTCTAACAGACTTTCACGATGAGAGAAGACTCGTGGCTGGACACTGCCTGGCAACTTTGTCTTCTCGGGAATGAGTATTCCTGGAGTATTGTTAGGCTGTATCTATCAAATCCTTGAACCATCATTGGACACGTGCTAATCTTCCCTAAACCGTCCATAACTTGAACACATATTTCAGTTGTATATTTGTGAATCCGTGCTGCTTACCCCGATAAAAATTATTTGTCGACTAGATACATCAACTGTGATAGTCGGGCATGCGTGTCTTCAGACCTGGGAGTTCCTCTCTAATCCCGGCTGATCCGCATTGCAACTGCGCAAGCGACATCGATTTCGCAGGCGATGCGTGGTAACTCGGGCCGTCTTCCCGACAATCATACATTGTGATGGGGAAGTGCAAAACAGCATGTGCAGAAGATCTGAAACAGTGCAGGTAGTCGAGTGTTTGTACAAACGAAACACACTTGATCTGCATTCAGTCGGCCAACCCCATTTCCTTATGTATTCGCATGCAACTCATTAGATTCAATTGAAAAGTCAATTTATCAAACACGCGTTTTCCGTAACTCTTCATCAGGCCACAAACGGTTACGGAGAAGTTTAACTTATGCGACGTTACAGGGCTTAAAATTGATTCAGGGACTATTAACAGCAGTCGTTTCCATACCAATCATCCTTCCCACGCCATTCGCATGACTAAGGCGTCTTACGGCGTGACTTGACCATTGAGTCAAGGGGGCGAGGGAGAGGGGGAACATAGGCGGTGAGTAATGTTTGTACGTCTGGTACGTTGTGCACCCACCTCTGCCATCATGAGGTTGGGTCGAAGTTGGCGTCGGCGTTGGCCATGGAAGACAAAACGGCTGTATCAGAGTCTTCTGACAGCATAGCACTGGATTGGCTAGCCGAATATCCACTACCTCGGCCTTTTGCCTTTCAATCCGCAATTTGTTGGCGACGGAAGGGTAATGATGCTCGCCAAGCCCCATGGCGGAAATGTCAGTACCGACGGACGACAAGGATCTTTCGTAAGTTTAGTTCTGATTAAAGCTAAATTTGACTCCAAATTCCAACAAAAATGGCAGATTTGTTTGTTTTAGTTTCGAAAGCGTAGTTCCACGCGTTGGATTCCAACGATGATCAAAATGCGCAGACGAGTTGATGAGTTGACCAGATTACCACAGTCCAACTGCTGATCAAAATTATCTGCGAGTATCTAGTTTCACATCCAAATATCCGTGCCAACCACATCATGGCGGGTTATTTTGACGGTATTTTACGTTAACGGGTCACTATGATAATTATGGCCTTGTTTGACTGAAGACGCGAACCCATTTTATCGAACTGTCCTTCAAATTAAGTGCGTCCAGTAACAAAACAGAAAGTATTTACCTCATGAGGGTTTGTAGCCTGGATTGGAGAAAGTGAAGAGGAGGTCCCTGTCTAACGGGACCAGTGGGAAAAGGTGTTGTACGGGTGGGGTAATAGGGAGGACCCATAGGAGAGTAACTTAAAATAAAAGAAAAAATGAAAGTTTACGAGATAATTAATTTAATTCGTCTTAGGTGAAAGAGCGCCGAAAATTCTAAAAAGGCATTTCATAGGTGGCACAGCCTGCGGAAGACGGCGTCGATGGAAAGAGATAGGTCTAGGTGACAAGGCGCCACTCGTAACCAATAGCGACGAGGTACCGAAGTCCAAGGTCATTCCGCAGAAGGTGCCCCAGAAAATACGACACGTGATGATGAATGCTCGTGAAAGCAGATCGCTGGACAGTGAATCACAATAGCGGTAAGTATGAATGTGGAATACTTAAGAGGCAGAGGATTGAAACCCAATTGATTAATTTGTTCAATAATTATCATGCGATTCCCACTTATAGAACGCAGACAGCAATGAAGGCGCACCCAGAAACTGAGATGCTTAGCAGTTGACGGGGAAGGTAAACAATGAGATGTTAATGATGTTTTACACGTAGGTCAATATAAACAGGCAGAGGAATTATAAGCAGTAAGAACAACCGAACGCCAAGGCAATGGACATCTTGCCGTGGGAATCTAGTGCAACGGAAGCAGTTTGTAATTCGTTCATACTGTACATAGCAATAGAGAATTCTTTACTAAGTCTCCGATTCTTTTTTCCCTTTTAATCCATAAGCTTAGCCAAAGAATGCGCCGACGGGGATGGAATTGCTTTTATTTGAAGGGATAGATGGGATACCGATGGGTTTCCTAACTGCTTGTCTTGACCAATCGGAAGGCTACCCCGTAAGTACGCTGAACTTCAAACCGATTTATGGTGAAGGTGAAACGGAAAGCTATGCGTACAGGTCGTCGCAAGGCGGCTAAATTGCCCAACCACACGGGCATGTGAAATCGTCCGACACGCAAGCACAAAGCAAGGGAAGGAAACTGCACAGAAAGCCGGAGGCCCGGTTTGATGCCGAAGCCTGTGAAAGTGCAAGGCAAGGTCACCCCCTATTGTTGAGTAGCCCTCACAACCCAGCGGTGGTGGGGTGTGGGTGAGAAAATGAGCAGCAAGGCAGGCAGGGAATTTTCGCGGCAGTGGCCTGCGCAAAAGCGAAACCGTAGAAGCAACTGCTGGGAAGAAATGGACCGCTGGCCGTCCTGGTCCTCACTGACCCAAGGCACCCAACCCAACTCGTAAACCTAAGTACGCAGACCTTAAGGCAGAACGAAAAACTGACCGTACTGAGCGCCGCATGTCCGAGGGAGGCCGAGGCAGGCCAAATCGACCGATTGGGTGCCGGTGGAAGTGCTAACGGAAAACTCGGCAACAAAAGCAAACGGGTAGCGGCCTTAGATGACCACACAGGAAGCCAGCGACGGGGTTTGACGTCTATACCGGTAAGCAAGAAAGGTAAGTGCAGCCCCTTTAGTTTAGGGAACCGGTGAAAGTCGCCAAGTCCCAAGTCCGTTGCACGCGAATGTTGGTAATCTCTACGTCTCCCTTAGATAACTGAAATCGTACCCATTTTCTACAGCTCAATTATGCATAGAGTAATGTAGCGCTCTGAGTACACTCACTTCCTGGGCGCTACAGTCCCATGTCGCTTCGGGGAGCAAAAGCGACACCAGTGTCGCCTCACATTGTCTGTGGGCGGCCCCTCGAAAAGAAGGTATAGTAGTCACCCAAATACTCCAGCAGGTCCTGTTCGCGAAGTGGGTCTTGTTGGGAGCAGCGATGTCCACCGTGCAGCACGCCGGTTCTCCAACGACCACTGGCGTCCTCCGTTCCGGCCGGTTGCGCCCCAGGTTATCTAGAAGGAAACGAACAGTCCAGGCCGCTAGAGTGAACGGATGCAACGTAACAGCCTGTGTAATGGGAAGGGAGTTGGGGACGGGTTGTTGCTATTGTGGTTGTTGTTAGTATTTCGACCGCGAGATTTGCGTTGACGAGTCGCGGCATACCTGTAAATGATTTAGACCCAGCATTTGTTTAGGGCACTTTTTAGCCCCTCCTTGCGTTAGGAAGCAAGCAGTACTATCCGTAAATAGGGCTGTTTCGTAAAGATATGGCAGTTTATATACTCCAGACGGTTGCCGAACTGCAATGTGGGTCTCGGCCTTATTTAGTGGACAGCGAACCGAGTTAGCCAACGCAGCCTACAGGATTTCATGTCACCCTCATCATACGACTTTTTTGAAGAGGAAGGAAGGAGGAGGGATGGATAGGGAAGCAGAACTACCGCGTGCGGTGGAACACACATACAGCATCGGATATATCCATCTGTTTAATGGCGTCGGTCCGGACGGTTACCGGGGTGTGGCTGCTGGGTAAAGCCGAGCTTCAAAGCGCCACAGAAGAGAGTTGGGTGCCAATAAATGTTCGTTGGGCTGAGCGCTGTTTTCTGCTGCCGAAGTTTAACACTTCTGCAACAACATAGCTGTGTGTGTAAATGAATTTCCAGATAGAGCGTGAAGATAGTGCTCTGGTGTCTATCCTGAATGGTTCGTGAAGACTTTCCTACTTGACTACCATAAGGAACCTGCAACGACGAAACAGTGATTTTTTTTCTGCATTGGGGCATGGCTTTGCGCACCAATTGCAGTCGGCTTCTCGGCCAATACCGCCGCTGTCCAAACTGGCCAAACGTCTTCGAGGCTGACTCAGACATGACCTCTCCACAATTGGCGTCCAAAATGTCTTCGTGTTCGGAACTAGGCCTGATCCCGTAGTGGCCTGGGACTCACTATTGCTCATTGTTTAACGACAGATATGCCTGGTTTACAGCATCTATGAGGGTAGCTATGTTGGGTTCTGCAATGGCGATTGTAAAGATATCATCAATGTAGCTGTCATAATGCCTTGGCTTATTGATCTGGTCGTTTAGTTAAAATTTATCTAACGTGTCTACCAAGACATCGGTTAATAGAGGCCTAAGAAGCGAGCTCATATGGACGCCGTCAGTCTGTCTATGGATTTTGTTGTCAAAAAAAATAGAACACCTGGGATTTATTGCCAATAGAAGCGAAGTGACGAGTCTCAGGAAGCAGTCGTGAGAAAGTAGACATGATCGCTTGGACAAGAGCTTTATTTGCCTGACGTTTCGGATTTCCGGCTAGAACTCATCATCAGAGAAAAAACAGATACCGATGGTTCAAGCACAAGGGGCTGCAGTATTTATAGGATGCAGTCGCCATGCTACCGCATACCTATGAACATTCACGGCCCCCCCTCCCCCCTCCTTTCATCTGGGATCTTTGCACTTGGTGTGATGACTGTTTGATGGGCGACATCCCTGTCGTTAATTGCTGCAATTTCATCACGTTTGTTGGATGCTGGTGTGACCACGCGAATGTAACACCAGAATAATTGTGACAGATCGTCTATTGTCCGCATACTCTCCCTCATTTTGCTCTGCAATCGTGACTTTTTGGCGAGGCATATGGCGTCGAGGTGTTCTTTAAGTAACGCACTGTAATACTATTGAACTAATTAAACAACGCCATTTAAAATTCATTTGTTCGTCTTTTGCGCTAAAGCGCCTAAATTGTGCATGGAATATCAGAACGGCCATCCAGCATGGTATTGTCGCAACCTAATTTCACTAGTTACTTTAACTCATTGGTCAGTAAATTCTCGTTAGATATTGGCTGCAAAACCAGCTTAAGTAAAACCTACAGTAGAAATCTCTCACACCTGATGTTTCGTGGAATTTTTGCAGCAGTCATGTATTATGTGTATGCGGAGGCATGCTTGTTCTCGTGGAATAAACGGTGCGTCTCCCTCAAATGGTAGCAAATTTATAAAAAAGTAAACCTAAATCGTGCAGTAACCTAGGTGTGTTTGAATACAGTCCACAACATATATTGTACTTCGATATGGGTATAGATTCGAGATCCAGATATTGTGTCACGTTCATCATACCCCAAAAAGGACAGAGAAGAAAAGAGGACGAATTCATAGACCGAATTATATTTGAACTGACGTTTCGGAAACCCTCTCGTCTCCATCATCAGAGTAAAGTGTTGGCTGTTCCGGCTGACTTTGATTGCTTCAGCCTTGATACCTGCCTGGTATTATATCCGTGCTCGAGGCACAAACTATGACCTGCCCTTTCGCCGCCGATTAGCGTTGGCCTCTCCGTGATTGACCGCCGGTGGGCTTGTGTCAGTTCTGACCCGTTTGCGGCCGTCGTAATTGTTGGCGAGCCAGCACGCTTGTCGGCCTCCCCCTCGTCACTCAACGGACTGATCAGTTGTTGGGGCTCGCGTGAGTTGATCTCAGCTTCGTGGGCGTCGCGGTGAGGTGGCGTCCTATGCTGGTCACGTGACCTCCGCTCGGCTTCTCTCCTACTTTCGCTGGCATCGGCTGTCGGCCACGCGTGACTTTGTTTGACTGTCCTGATGGCCTTGTCCGCACTGACTCGAGCCTTGTGCGTAGCGCCTAGTAGGCGGGATGCAGATCTATGGCTCTGTTGAGTGTGTTAGTCAAGGACCAACTTTCGAGCATCAGTTTGACCATTTTATTATTGGCTCGGCCGATTACCCTTGCATTCTCAAAAGCGAAATTGTGGTTTTTCTGTTTGACGTGGCCATAGACCATAGACAGGTTGTCCTTGCGGTTGATTGCAAGCTGGTGCTCATGCAATCTTGTGCCAAGCCGTTTGCCCGTTTTACCAACATACCTTGCATCACAGTTTTGGCGTGGTATGCTGTAGACAACCGCTGATTGTTCTGTCACCTGCAGCGGGTCTTTGGGCCTCAAGTGACACAAGCCCACCGGCGGTCAATCACGGAGAGGCCAACGCTAATCGGCGGCGAAAGGGCAGGTCATAGTTTGTGCCTCGAGCACGGATATAATACCAGGTTGAAGCAATCAAGGCCAGCCGGAACGGCCAAAACTTTACTTTGATGATGGAAACGAGAGGGTTTCCGAAACGTCAGTTCAAATATAATTCGGTCCATGAATTCGTCCTCTCTTCTTCTTCGTCTTCTTCGGGGGATGACGAACGCGACACATATTATATTATAAAGCGCTTTGCTTACTTGTGCCTCTTGTTATATTTCGTAAGCCCACCTATTGGAAATGTCTACGGAGAGGGGCACGTTATTCATTGATGATGTCGTTGAACACTTACTTAAATACGTCTTAAATACGAGGATAATGCTTTCGGTGCTAGATTACGGCCTTTCTCGGATACGAGTGCATTTTGAACGGAGCAACCTCCAAACTGAATGCCATTTTCTAGCTGATTATGCTGAGGCCAGATACGTGCAATACGTTTGCTTTGTTGAATTTTCGAGGGTGCGAATATCTTCGTGGACCAAGGTACTTTGATGTTTGCAATCTGTTTTTGTTTTTACCATGCAGTCTGTCTTATCTGAACTGTTGCATTAGCAATATACAAAATCTCCGCCAAATGCACAAATGGTTGATTGTTATGGTAATTCTGATTGCAGTTGCATATAACATTATGTGGTTGTTTTTTCGCGTATGCCAATATAACCATAGTGATGCCACGCTACTCATTTCGCACACAGCAAAATCTTCTGAGCATGATAGCACACACTTACTAATCTCAATTCGAAGTGACCACAGGAATATGTTTTGTCTCTGAATTAAGGACGCGAGCACATGCAAGCGGATCTACAACTGAATGATTACGTGTAAATCCAGATAGCCAGTAAGTTAAGCTTTCGGCAATATCGAATATTCGTCAATGGATGTAAAGTTGCAAGTACCATGGTATGTGTTTGTAAAAGAAGCCAGGGTTTAGTTAAGATTTACCATTAGTTACCTCAAATCATCCCTTTTTATGTACTGACGACGAAATTATTTTTGTAAATTATGTCATTATACATGACGGGATGGACGTCTTCCCCGGTGACTGTGCGCGCATCGTCTTTACAACTGGAGCTCAGAGACAGCATTATCACTTCCTTATGAGAACACATTTCGGTATTTAGGCAAAAACAGATTTGGCATGACAGATGACATTATGTTTGACATTAATCATTTGTTACGCTGCAATTTTTCTCTTTTTCTTCTTCTTCTTCTGGTTCTTCTTTTTCGACGCTAAGCATGATGAAAATAGTGGCCAGGTTCTTCCAACAGCTGAAAGCCTTACAATAGAAATGCCTGGTTTACTGCATATAAAATGGCGTCTATGTTGGGTTATGCGGTGACGATTGTGAATATGTCGTCAACGTAGCAACCATAATGTATTCTCCATGCCATCTGGTCCTTTAATTAAAATTCCTCTAAATTGTCTACGGGGACATCGGTAAGTAGAGACCCAAGAGGCGAGCTCATGTCAACGTCGTCCCTCCGTCTATGAATTTGGTTGTACAAGAAGACTGACCACCTAGGGTTCATATTAGTAATAACCCCTTTAGTGCGTTCGTCCGCATTCGTATTTCATGCCGTAAATCAGGCATGTCCTCTGATCAAGTTTGTTTCTTAACCTGAAATATCATTCTGCTCAGAAGGAGCTATTTTGGAAGAAAACTGGGTCTGGGAAATACACGAATTTAATCATGTTATAACTCCTCCCAGAAAAACACAACCTTCTGCGTTGTTTGGCGCAAAGGACCAGAAGAATTTGTCCCACAGATGTTGTGCGAGTATGCGTCTATTCAGAAAAATATGGGAAGACCTTCCGGTGAAATTAAAAGAAGGAAGAATGCCATTCTCGCCGTGCAAATAATCCATTGTTGGCATCGTGTGAATCCTAACGTAGCCTTGTGCGTTATTAACGAGGTCCTATCAGACTACCCTAAGTCATTGGTTCAGCATCTGCTGGCAACAGCAGAAGGGGCTGCCATCAGGTTACGGAAGTTGGTATTGTGCACACTGAAGAGCCTGGTGCTAGCTCCATGCATACCGTGGCCAGTGATCGGTTAACTGCACTCATCCGTTCGTGCCATCATCCATTCCCCTCCTCCTGGCTGTCATTGCCTCCTAACTCACTGTCTCTTCTCCCAACTTCCTCCCTCTCGCGGACGCACTGTCCACCTGTATGATAAGACAAACCGTGGTATATTTCTCTTATCTCACAAATGGTCTGACGATAATTTATCGAATGCACACATATGCTTGCCGACTGTTAGTCTGATTCCTTCTTTTCAGTTGCAGCAGAGACATTTATCAGCAATGCTGCATACCATGTTAAGTTCCCTTATAACGTCCAACGCTTTTTACCGATTGCATTCTTTCCAAAAAATAAATTCTCTCTTATGTTTGCAGCCATTAGTAATTTTATGTGTTTTTTTTATGAAAGCGCCCACTTTTTGATGGAACACTGTCTGATTTATTCGGAATTTTACGCTTAATTCAGTTTGTCACATGCGTTTTTGTGCCCAATTCATTTTATCAGATTTCTATGATTATTATTCGTTTGAAATATCAGTCTAGATTGCGTTAAGAGTTAATACACATGTTCCGCAAAGAAATGTGGCTGGGAATGTAGTGTGTAGTGTGGTTAGAAAGAGAGGTCTCGGAATTGATGTTCGAGTGGGAGGACTTCAAAAAGAAAGCTTTTAGATGATTGGAATCCAATCAATAATTAACACGATGACAGCTCTGTTTTCGTGATGGAATACCGAGTTCCTACTGCAGGAACCTAGTAGATTTTGTCGCAGGTTCATCACAGCTTTAACCTCCGCCAAGTATTTTTATTTAATAATTTTTATGCCCTACTCGAGTACCTCTTGTTCTTTAGTATATTTGTTGACTGTGTTCTGCTTATTTATAGAATTTTGCTGTTTTTTCTAGTTTGCTTTATCTTATAATAAGATGAAATTACATGAGTTTGTTTATTTTTGGACATGAAGATGATATCTTGAGAAAGCGTTACACATAACATATGACCTTCACCTGTTTAAGGCTATGCCGATTGACCTTTCATGGATTCGTTTTTGAATTATTAAAAATTAAGGCACCTGCAGTCATGGGATGAACTTAGTAGGTCTACTTATCCTAAATGTAGGTTTCAACGAGACGGAGAGACTATCAAAGAGAAGCGGCGGGTTATCCTATGACAGGCTGTCTGTGACCGTCGCTAGATGGGTCAAGTTCAAACACATTTCCAAAGAAGCATACAACTTCTGAAGGGGGTTCTAACGATGTAGTACAATTCAGAGGGTGCCAACGTCGCATTAGCTGATGGATGATGTGCCTTCTCTTATGTTTGCCTCCGGTTCGTGTTCTACTCCAATTCCAGATCGTGTGAGAAGGCGGATAGCGGCTGCTGAGGCATTAATTATGTACGGGAGAGTTCGCCAAAATTTGGAACCGGTTAAGTTTCGCCTCTTGTCTTGTTTGCGCCGGCACTGGTTTACGAAGTTGCGCGGGTAACCATTGGCTTTGAGTCCCCGTCAAAGGTATTGTAATTCAGCAAATTGTTCTTCAGATTTACTGCAGTGCGTCTCCACACACTGGTATAATGCCCCTACGCAACTGCGTTTGTGACTGATTGGGTGGTCGTTTTTGTAGCTCGGTACGCGCGTCATACTTGTGCCTTTCCTGGAAACTTTGGTTTTTAGACTATCACAATCGTTGCGGCATACGAGGACATCAAGTATATCTAGCTGGTTGTTTACCCCTTCCCCATCTTAAATAAGATGCCCGGGAAATTGTGTTGAGGTTGTCTTTGAATTCCAGCTCCTGATCCCATTCGATGATAGTGAAGTTATCATCTACATACTGAGCCCAGATTTTCGAACTGTGGTGTCGGAAGACCAGCGACACCAACCATTGTAAGGCCGCCTCGGCACGCCAAGGGTTTGCCGAATCCGGGACTCACAGCTATCCTCAGCCAAACGCACTCAACATCAACTTGGGCGTCTGGAGTTCAAACCTGGAACTTTTATTTTCCTAGTACAACATTATTACAGTGAACCACATACTCGCTGCCATTCTTATGATAGTCTTGAGCTCCCGAGCGAAGAATGTGTGCCAACTCTTCAATGCTCGGACAGTCAAATGACACGTAGTGAACTACCACTTTGCATTAATAGTGGGGGATCTCCGCCTTTAGAAAATTAGGACGGTGTTTTAAAACATTGTTTACTTCGCCAACCTCTCCACATATATATGCTCTATGAGCTTCCACATATTGCGGGTAGACGAATAACAGAAACATTCACTGGTTTTTCATTGTCATTTCTAATAAACCTGCAGCTAGTGACCGACCACATGAAATGTCAGCCGAAACTGTAAAATGTGTTTTCAATTAAGAAGGATTATTTAAGTAGGTTTGTACTAATGATTATCGCACAGTACAGTTGATAGACGTCGCATTCACGCCAAAACGTTTAAATGCGCAGCCACCAAAATAGTCGCCCACGCCAGAAGGAAACCAAGCCGGACTTTGATTGAAGCCTGGACCTCAGATGACAACTCAGTCAACCGATTTATCGAACTGGCGGCGGCGTATTGATTCATGCGCAGTCACCTACAGTCCTTCGCCGTTGGTCGATGATTGGCCTA